GCAGAGGGAGAAGCAGGCTCCCTGCCGAGCAGGGAGCCCGATGCGGGACTCGATCCCAGGACCCTGAGATCATGACCTGAGCCCAAGGCAGTCGCTTAACCAACCGAGCCACCCAGGTGCCCAGTCCTAGTTCTTTTTAGCCAGTTTCATGTGTAAGAAAGAAGGGGCCTGTGTGTCTATGGGTTTCTTTGATTTTATTTTGGCCAAGTTGTCCTGTCCTCTCTGAAAGGTCTGGGGAGGCCGGGTCTTGAGATGTGCCCAGGGGGCAGGGAGGGGTCCTGGGAGGAGGGGGCTGGCGCGGAGTGGGGGCGGGCGGCCCACGCTCACGCCCCCCCCCCCCCGGCCCCCCCCCCCCGGGTCCCACAGCACCTGCAGCTGGTCCGGCAGGAGATGGCCGTGTGCCCTGAGCAGCTGAGCGAGTTCGTGGACTCCCTGCGCCAGTATGTGCGGGGCACCGCCGGGGCCAGGAACTGCTTCCAGTGAGTGAGCTGGGGGGAGGGGGAGGTGCGGCGCGGGCACCTCGGCCTGGGGGTGGAGGGCGGGCTCCCCCTGAGAACAAACCGTGCCCCAGGGAAGCCCCTCGTTGGTCCGGGCTTTGCCCCGCCGTGCGAACGTGGCCGGGACTCTGTCTCCCTGGCTTTAGCTTCCTCCTCCTCCCTGGGGTTGCTGGAGGTGACAGTGGAGTAGGGGCCGTGAGGGGCCCAGGCCAGGGGCTGGGGCAGTCTGCGTTGACTCCGGGTGCACGGCCGCCCCCGGGCCTCACCCTCTGCTCCCTGCCGCCCAGGCTGGACGCGGCCACGTCTCAGCCTTGCTGGTGGCGCTGAGCGAGGGCTGCTGGCCCAGGCCACCGGGGAGCAGCCGGAGCCTCTGGTCCCTGCCGCGGTTCTCTCTCCCCAGCTTGCTTGTCTCAGCCTCCAGAGCCAGGCACCTTCCCCCTGCTTCCTGGGGATACAGCCGGGAAGCAGGCCCCTGCTCTTGCTGAGCATTTATTCTAGGAGGCAGAGGGGCAGACAGAGAGAGGGGGTTCCCGACGGGGCCAGGAAGCAGGGTCCTGGAGGGGGGCTTCAGGAAGGGTTTGCTCTGGGTTGAGGGGCTGCATGTGCTTGAGGCCAGAGCGAGGAGCAGCCCGACCTGCAGGATCTGAGGAAGGGCAGTCTGGGCCAGGGATCAGCTGGTGCCGAGTCTGGGGACAAAGCCAGCACCTGGTGTGGCCTGACAGTCACACCAGCAGAGAGAACTGGGGCTGGTCGGGACCGTGTGGGAGATGCTGGAGCAGAAGGCAGATGTGGTCTGGTCTCCTTTGTGGGAAGAAGGGGCGAGTGGGGACCAGGGCCAGGAGGGGCCCCGCAGTCACGGGAGAGGGGCAGGCCTTCCCGTGCTGTGGCTTTTGGAGCCAAGCTGACCGGCCTTGTGAGTGGCTGGGATGGAGGAAGGTGGAGAGAGGAGGCAAAGGCTGAGTTGGAGAGCCTTTGGCTTAAACCCGAGAGAGGATGGTGCTGTGTGCTGAGCTAGAAGGGTGGGAGAGGTCAGGTGTGTTGGTGGGGGTGTCCTACAGGCCTCTGGGGCCACGTTAAAGTCCAGCTAGCAGTCGAGGCGCTGACATACAGGTGGGGCGACCCCGGGAGTGGAGGCGCGCTCACCGTGGGCGAGAACGTGGGAGGGGGAGGGGAGCAGGCGGGACGCAGTGGGGCTTCATGCCTGCGTGGGAAGGACTGTCCTTCCTCCCCGTGCCCCACGCCTGCCTGCGTGTCGTCCCGCCCCCCCCCCAAGCAACCCGTGTGTTGTCAGCCAGACAAATGCAGTCCCCACGGGGGCTTTCATCACCCAGTAATTGAACGTACGTGAACCAAATCGCTCCCAAGCTGTGCCATCCGCGTCGGGGGAAGGGCTACGTCCGGTCAGTGGGGGACACGCGTGCCCCGTCCTCTCCCCGAGTACGAGCCCACGGCCCCACGTGTGCTTTGAGGCTAGAGCATAGTGAACTGAGGCTACGACCAGCAGCCTCGATCCTGTGCGGTTAGGGCTGGAAGGGCCCATGATTGTACAGGGACGGCCACCCCTGACAAAATCCTCCTCCTCGTGGGATGCTGGGCATTCTGTTCTGCGGAGCTGTGAGAAAGCAGAAGGCAGGAGTGCAGCCAAGGGGCCCGATGGGGATGGGGTTAGAGACGGTGGAATCCTAGAGCCTCCCCCTGTCCCCGCCAGGTCAGCCATGCTCGGGGAGGCAGCCCCCTGCCTCCTCCCCTGGCCCAGGTAGGATCAGCCCTATTTAAGGGGAGGTAGGGGGCCTGCCGGACCACTGACCCCAGGCAGGCCTTCCCGAGCCACTGCTGGTCCAATTCCAACTCCCGAGACTGTTTCAAGGATTAAATGAAACAATTCTAGAGGACAGCGTGGCAAAAGGAAGATGCTTTTATTTTTGAAGGAAGGTAGGTAGGGTTTTTAAATGAACAGAAAACCTTTGCACGTGTCATTTCATTGTAATTCATTGAGTGTTTCTTGGCCCCTTTGCAGGGCGGGCCCTGTCATGGGTGGGGGGGGATACTCCCTGAACTGACCAGTCTGGAGGGGGGGGGGCACCCCCTAGCTGGAGCCTCTCTTTCAGCATCGCAGCTGTGAGGCTGGCGGACGGCTTCACCTTCGTGGTCTACGAGTTCTGGGAGACTGAGGAGGAGTGGAGGAGGTGAGCCCAGCGTGAGCTCCAGGCGCGGTGGGTCAGGGGGTGGGATGCAGGCGCCCCCGCCCTCGGGCATCACTGGAGAGCTGGGAGGGCAGGGTAATAATGAGCGCCTCACTGGGCCGCCAGGGGCCCTAAATGCCATGGGGGGCACATTTCTATGCCTCGAGAGACCCCCCCCCCCACCAGCTGGGCTCTGAACCCAGGTCGTGCCCTGGGAGCCGAGGGTAAGGCTGTTCCCACTTGAAAACCGGGCTAAAACTCCAGAAAGTTCTCTGATTAAGAACACTCTATGGGAGGCAAGAGCCGGGCTGTCCCCTGCCCCCTCAGCCTGCCCCTCCCTGAGGCCTGGCCTCTGTATCTTTACCCTCTGGCTCGAGGCGCCGAGCATGGCGAACAAGGGATTAGGCCTCCCATCCTGGGCAGAGCCAGGACCCCCCTGCGCCCGCGCTGGAGGCTCCCCCAACCCCCAGAGCACACCCCTCCCCGTTCCCCTGGCTTGCAGGCACCTGCAGGGTCCCGTGTGCAAGGCGTTCCGGCACGTGAAGGTGGACACGCTGAGTCAGCCAGAGGCCCTCTCCAGGATCTTGGTGCCAGGTAGACGGAAGTGGGGTGTGCAGAGGGTCCTAGAAGCGGGGAGACCAAGGGTGTAAGAGTTAGGCGAGCCCCTGAGAGGGGATAGGGCCCACGATACAAGGTAGCCCTGCAACCTCGAGCCGAGAGTGGGGCAGAGCCTCCAGCACCAGGGCTGTGGGCCCCCAGTGTGGGCGGGGGCTGCCCTTCCCAACCCCCTCCTCTGTTTCCTGTCTCTCCCCTGCCACCAGCTGCTTGGTGTACTGTGGGCCATGCCTGACCACCTCCCGGAGGCCTTTGGATCAACCTGCCACTCTGTCCCCTCTTTTCTAGAAACTTTGGTATACAACCTGTCTTTTCAATATACTTCCAGACAAGAATGTATTTTCCCTGTGTGATGTGAAGGAGCAGCCCCTGCCCCGACCCCCCCACTCCTCAAGGCAGAGCAGCATCCGAGACACAGAATGCACAGGGAAGCCTCCTGTAACCAGCACCCTCCCTCCCCAGCCCAGTGGCCACGCATGACCCTCTCCTCCCTCCCCCCCCCCACCCCCAGCAGACCGGCCCCTCCCCGGGCCACTGCCTCACGGGCCTGGGGGCCATTCCTCTCCCTGGTAGGAGCCGAGACCCTGTAGTGCCCACCCACGGCCTGGGCCCCGCTGCACAGGACCGTAGAGCCCACGTAGCCCGTGCCCTGCTTGGCAGTCAGGCACCAATAAACCCTGGTTGGGAACGGCCGCGTGCTGTGTTTTTCTTTCGAATTTTCTAGTGCAGGGCCGCTAGAGGAACAAAGCGGTCTCGGTGCATGGGGCCCCCTTAGTGGCCATGAAACCTTGGCCTGTTTCCTTATCTGGAAAACGGAGCTGATAAAGCTGAGGTATGTATTTTAACAGACACGGTCTTGCCCGTTCCAAAGTTCTGGGAGTCCCCAAGAGTTCCCCTGTGGCTCAGTAACTCCCTGAACTCCGCGGCACCCTTTCACTCAGCTACGAATTACGGCAACAGCAAAGGGAAGCTGTGCAGGGGTGGCAGAGAGCAGGCCCAGAGCCTACAACTGCCCCCTTTCTCCCGGCACGGAGGCATGACCACGTGCATGGAGTACTGCTCTCCAGAGCCTCGGCTTCCACCGGGGGCCAGCCCTACGCCGGGCTGACCTAGCCTCCAGCCCCTCTGGAGGTCAAGCTGAAACCTCCTGGTCAGAGACCCCAGGTAAACACAGAGGTTTGAGGTCAGGACAGTCCAAGGTTCCTAGAGGTCACCTCCTGGGAGCCCAGGGCCAAGGCCAGACTGCTCTGGGCACAGTGGATCCTTCACTACACACCTGTAAGTGAGCTATGCCAACAAGACATTTCAAGTCCTGTTCTGGAACCTCTCTAACTTGCCTGCTCTGTTTCTGTGTCTTAGCACCAGAGAGGTCAGACACAGAAATCTCAACGGACCAGGAAAGAGCACTCTGGCTCCCCGTCTGCAGGCAGGATGGAGGGGGGACAGAAAGGTCCTAAACCAGGGCAACAGTGGGTCGGTGGGACCTGGTGGGAGCCCTGGGGCCGCAGATGCACCCGGAGCAGCCAGCCTGTGACAGCTCCTGTCACAGAACGAGAGGACAGCTGTCCTGCCACCTCCTGGCAGGGTTGGATGCTGGCCCTTCACGAAACACCAGTGACCTACAACATGGGCTTGCAGAAAGTGTAAAAACCAGGGTCGGATCCCAGCTCTGCACCTCCCAGATGCATGCCCCAGCAGCCAGCTTCTCTGAGCCCCCATTTTCTCATCTGTAAAGCAGGGAGAAGACCCTTCCTTGAAGACCAGGACTGCCTGGCTCACAAGAGTGGCACGTCACAGGGTCCTGCCCACAGCATCCACAAGCACCCCCAAAGCGGGGGCTGCTCCAGTTGGCTCCGTGGTCTTACAAAGATTCTTAGGGGGCTGAGGCTCTTTGGGGTGTAAATGAGGAACCCCACGAGCTGGGTGTGTTACACTTCCGCCCTACATCTTACCCGCTGGCCCGAGCTCCCCCGCCCATGTTGTAGGCTCTCTGCTGATCGCAGCTTGAGCTCTTAGAGCCTCAGTGGATTCTGAGTGGGTGGGAACAGGCTCCGAGGAGAACAAATTTCAACCCTAAAAGGTATCAGAGCTCCCACTGAATTTACACTTCTCTGCCAGGCACGCATACACCATCTCCCTCAACGCTGCCATCCTGTGACTGGCAGGTTCCCCCGGGGGGGTGTAAACAGAGCAAGCAACTCACCAGAGGTCACAGAGCAAGCTAAGGGCACCACTTACACCCCAACCCAGAGCTACCCACCCCCAGTCTTGTGCCACACAGCACCCCCATGTGGGAACAGCTCCAGGATGGGACATTAAGACCTCAATCGGGTTCCTCAGTTAAAGACGGAGTCACCCTAGGAGCCCATTGCTAGGTCTATGCTATGCCCAAAAGAACGGAAGAGCCGCAGGCGAGCAAATACTCGTGTATAAACGCCGATGGCCGTCAGTGGATGATGAGACGACGTGGGCTCTGGCCACACCAGGGAGTGAAAACACGATGCCATGTGAAAGTGACCAGCCCTGAAGGGATCTAGCGTGTGATCCCATCCCCATGAACCGTCTAGAATAGTGACGTCTACAGAAGCGGGAAGCAGATCAGTGGTTGCGGGGCTGGGCTACGAGGGAGTAGGGAGTGACTGCTAAGGGGGCTGGGGTTGCTTGTTGGGGGACGGAAGTGTTCTGGACATAGGCAGAGGTGGTTACACAACACTGAGATACCGGAATCGTACACCTTAAAATGGTTACTTTTGTGTTAAAGTTCACCTCAACGACCGCCCACCCCCCAAAAATCTCAATCAGCTCACCCGCCCAGATCAAGAAGTTCACCACTTGCGTTCAGCGGCCGATCCACGTTCTTGCCGCATATCCAGCTCAAAACCCAAACCTCCCGCGGCGAGCGTGCGGAGGCAAGCCTGGGGGGCGGGGGGGGGCAGAGCTGCTCAGGGGACCGGCAGCGCCGGGGGCTGGTGTCCCTGCCCAGCTACCGGGGGAGCACCTGAGCCAGGGGAAAGGTCCCGCCCAGAGCACCCGGCAGCCCTCGCCCTCACAGCAGAACTAATCACTGTGACACACTATCACTTGGCCACATCTGCAGCATTGAGACGTGGGTCTCCACCCTCACGCACAGGGGTGACCGTGGCCCGGGACCCGGGACAGGCCAGCCTCTGTGCCGGTGGTGGTACAGGTAGGTCTCAGCTCACGCTCGCTGCTAACCTGTGGGGGGCAGAGGGGCCGTCCTTTGCTCGGTCTTAGAGGAGAGCGAGGAGGACGCAAACAGGGCCACAAGGCAGAAAGGAGGCAGTGGCTGCTGACCTACCCGAGGAAGGACGCCGAGGCTGACACTAGCAGGAGGGAGGCTTGCGGGGGCTAGCCCAGGCTGTACCGCTGCTAGGGACGGGCAGAGCCCACGCCCAGAGCCCAAATGCCACCTTGACCTTGAGGACACCGCTTCAGCCCTTCCTGCCACCTGCCGGCAGGAACCTGACGGGGTCACTTAGTGTGGGAGGAGGACAACCCTGAGTCAGCTCATACCTCCGCCGGCTGAGACATCAGAGGGCAACACCCCGGCCTGCAGTTCTCTGCCGTACGTGCTGCATGGTGACGGTTGAGGTGACACTCCATCCTAGGAGGACCCCATCCTGTCCCTGACACAGATCAAGATAAAAATGACTGTCCCCAGGGAGATGTGCATCGCCCCTTCAGGGGCCCCACCCTCTTCCCTCAGCATGGAGTGCCAGTCCACTTCCTCCCTGATGTGCCTTCCTGTTTTTGGATGGGCCCTAGCATCTTCTTTCCCTTTTCCCTTGGCGGCCGGGAAGCTCGGTGTTCACCTCATCTCAACCTAGGTTTTCTGGACATAAAGCTACCATTGCTCAGCAGCCCCCACCCCCACACTGCTGCGGGAGACACATTATCACCTTTAATTCTCACGGTGAGCCCTCCTGGCATCATACGCAATAAGCCTGCTCCGTTTGGTGGGGAAACAGATTCCCAGAAGCACTTCATCAACTCCCCCGATACTGAGATAGAAAGTGGCAGAACCTGTGCTCAACAGCACGAGTCTGACCCCAAAGCCAACTCCCACAGTGCGCCCTTCAAGGGCCCCAGCCTTCCCCGCCACACTCGGCTCTTCCCCGGGACTCCGTGAGCGGCCCTAGCCCGGCCCCCGCCTTCCCGGCCGGCCCGGCACCACTCGTCCGAAGCGTGCGGCATACGTGATCAAGGACTCCACTGGCCGCCGCCGAGGGGCAGTTCTGCCGCAGCCCCGGGCCCGGCTCTGAGGCCCTTGCCCGGGGGGACGCTGTGGCCACCAGACACAAGGTGTGGGGCTGGCCAGAGGGCACTTGGAGGAGACTCCTGTGCCCGCTTCACTGGGTCAGAGTCTACACCCGCAGCCAGGACGGAGGAGGGCAGAGGGGCCATCCCTGTCCCTGGGGTTGGGCAGACCAGGTCCCATCCCCTTGGCCACTTGGAACATGTGCTAGAAAGAAAATGGACAATGGAATTTAACCCCAAATCCATCCCGACCCTGGCTCTGTACCTCACAGGACGGGTATCCTGGACTTGTCTGAGCCTCAGTGCCTCACCTGTAAAACGGACGAATCTGAAAACATGCGAAGTCGAAGGAGCCAGACACGAAGGCCGTTCGTACGGAGTGTCCGGAAGCAGCCGATCCGCAGAGACGGCGGACTCCTAGTTCCCGGGGCCGGGGCAGGGGCTGCTGATGGGCGCAGCTTTCTCTGGGGGCACAAAATACACCAGAGTCAGATGTTAGCGACGGCAGTAGCACTCTGGCCATCAACACCCAGCGCACCGGGCACTTCGCGAGGTTGAACTTCATGGTATGTGAATTACATCTCAAAAAAAATCAATGCAACTGGATAGGCTGGAATAAAAAAAAGCCCCCAAACCCCAGCTGTATCACCGCTCGTCCCACACGGGCAGGCACGCATTGCTCAACACAGGACCGACAGGGCCCTGGCCAGCACCTACCCTGAGGGAGCTGTCCTCGCACGTCGGCCCCTCCCGGCTCTGGCACCGCTGGCTTCCAGTGGACGTCCCAAGGCAGAGGAAGGGTGGCCCGGATCCAGCGGCATCCAGAACACCCCAGGCCCCATGCAGGGTCAGTGCCAGCAAGCACAGCACGAAGGAGCAGCTGGGCCCCTGGCTGCCTCTCCCCCCACCCTCTCCCCGCCGCCTCCTTTCCCCTACCCTGGCCCCAGGGCCGAGCCCCGGTCCCCTCACCCTCAGCTGCAGGTGTCACCCCTCACCCCAGGATTGGCTGGGGTCGGGAAGAAAGTACAGAGCCAACAGCCCACTGGGCCCCCAGGCTCTTCAGGTCCAGCCGGAAGGGAATGGGGGGCTCTCCCTGGGGCCCTCCCATCGGAGTGTGGGCCAAAGCAGAGCTCCCTGGGCCTCAGCCCCTGCTTGTGGTATGAACTGTATCCCCTGGAGATATTAAGTTGAAGGCCCACCTCCTGGAACCTGTGACTGTGACCTCATCTGAAAAGAGGATCTTAGCAGTCCCTCAGTTAAGGGGAGGTCATCCTGGACTAAGGTGGTCATGATCCAATGACTGGTGTCCTCGTAAGAGGAGGGAAATCTGGACGGACACACAGAGCAGCCAGCCATGTGGGGGCAGGAGGCTGAGCTGGAGGGGTGTGTCTACAGGCCAAGAAATACCAAGGGTGGCCAGCAACACCAGGGGCTGGAGGCGGCGGGAGGGCCCTCGCCCAGAGCCTTCAGAGGGAGCACGGTCTTGGCCACGCCTCAATCTCAGACCCCCCCCTCCGGGACTGTGTTTGAAGCCCCCCAGCGTGTGGCCTTCTGTTAGGGGAGCCCCAGGACGCCAATACACCCTCCTCAGCACTGCACCTGAAACCCCCTGAACCCGCACAAGCCCAAATGAGCAGCCTTAGAAGACAGGACGGTTCCGTTTCCGCAGCATCTTTATGATGAAAGGACACGGGTCGCAGCTGGACACGGGGGCAGCCACACCGGCGCCGTGTGGAGGCCGGGCCGACCCCCTCCCGCTCAGAAGAGTTCCAAGACCGTGGCCACCGTGCTCTGCCCGAAGATGAAGGTGCCCACAAGCACGGAGACCACTCCCCACACTTCCAAGCAGCACCTGCCAGGTCAACACACACACATCAACACACCCTTCTCTGGACCTCTGTGCAGACAAGCCAAGCACATGGCAGAAAGCCCATCACGGGAAGCCAGCGGAGTGACCGAAGTGGAAAAAAATCCGCAGTATCCTCCCTCACCTGTAGGGATGGGTTTCCAAGGCAACAGGGGATAATGGCCCCAGGCAGTTAAAGCCCCACACTGCAACTGTTAACTGATGACTCCATTCCTCCCTAGCCTTTTATCAAAGCCAAAGAAATGGGGGAGGGAGACACCTGGTCATTCCTTTCCCTTTGGGAGCAAGGGGAGGAGGGATGAAGCCCCCCCTGAAAATGAGGAAGGAGAAGAAAGCCCAAAGTCACCCTTGATCGGGACAGTGGGTGGGGCACGAGGGCACGGGAGGCAGAGGTGGTCGGCCACGGAAGCCACCAGGACACGTCTGCGAGCTTCATGATGTACCGGCCGACACCGTGTGGACAAGGAAACAGGATTCCCACGAATGGCAGGGCTGCCAGAGACCTTTTCTGGCCGGATTAACAAAGGCCCCCGGACCCGCTGTCTCGGAAAGACTGTTTAGCAAAGCAGAGTCACTGGAAGCAGGGAGAGTGTGTCAACGTGCCCGGGGCCTGCAGGCTCCTCGACCAGCTCTGAGGGATCAGAAGGCCCTAAGCAGCGCCAGGATTAAAAATATCTTCAAAGCCCACCAGTAAAAACTGCTGTGAGCTTGGACCAAGGCCCAAAAGAGCAGCAGCAGGACCTCAAAGACCACTGAGGGAAAGAGCCATGTAGGGGCCCCAGACAATCGGGGCCAGCCCCCAGCCCAACTCAGGTTCAGAGACATCCAGAAAAGCTCTTCTCCACCCAGAAGGGGACAAATCCTAGCTGGCTGCTTCAGGAAAACCGAACCTGGGCTTGAGGGGGCTGGAGGCAAGGGGAGACAGAGACAGAGACACCGGCCTGCAGGTGGGACCCAAGCCCACGGCTGCTGTAACTTAAGAGCACCTGCCCTGGGCTGAACGCTGGTCCCCAAAATTCACGTCCACCCCGAACCTGTGAACATGACCTTATTTGGAAATAGGGTCTTTGCAGATGTGATGAAGTTCAAAATCTGGAAAGCAGATCATCCTGGATTGGGACTGGGCCTTCAACACCATGACAGGTGTCCTTATGAGAAAGAGGCACAGGGAGATTTAAGGCAGAGACACACAGGCCATGTGAAGCTGGAGGCAGAGACTGGGGTGATGCAGCCACAAGCCAGGGACACGTGGAGCCACCAAGTGATGGCAGGAGATGGCAAGGAACAGAGCAGGCTCTAGAGCCTTCCGAGGGGGCCTGGCCGGGCCTCCCAAGCTGGGAGAGAACAGCTTCCTGTTGCGGTGTGCGCCCCCAGCAAACCTAACACGGCATCTGTCTGCAAGCCTCGGCCTGTCCTCACGCCTGTGGGACGGGCACGAGGGCCACCCAGGCTCTGGCCGAGGTATGGTGCTTCAGCCATGCACATTCCCTTTCTCCGAGGGGACGGCCTGGGCCCCTCAAAGGCAAAGGACAGGCTCCAGTCCTATCACAGGCCACGCTGGAGAAGGACGGCCTTCTGCTGGAAAAAGGGATATCCCAAATTCTCTTGTCTACCCCCACCACGGGGAGCAGGGAGGAGGCAAGCGTGAGGCCCGAGCCAGGCCAGCCAGGCTGGAGTCCCAGCTCTGTCCTGACCTGCCATGCGCCCATGGGGAAGTTTCTGTCCCCTCGTCCGCAGGCTGGATAGCCCAGGATCACAGGGAGCTGGCCGAGGCCCGGCAGGTGTCCAGACAGGGCCTACTACCTTGCTGAGGGAACGTGCTACCCTAATGCCCACATGGCCCCCAGAAGGCAGGGTTCCATGCAACAGGACCAGCTGTGCCCCGTGCTGCCCAGGGTCGGAGTGCAGGATGGGGAAGCATGCATGGCTGGGACCCCCCGAGCCCACAGACAGCTCCCAGCACGGACGATCACCCTCTGGGTAGGAGCGAGGGCCGTGCACAGACTGCTAGCTCGCGGGCCCCAGCGTCGCGGGCCGGGGTTTGGCTCCTGGCGCAGACGCCCGCTCATTGTGTGGGTAAGGCCCACATTGTGTGGCCGGCCGTTTTCTCCTCCGCAGGACAATGGGATCTCCACAGGCCCTGCCACGTTCCCGTTCTGCTCGCTCGGAGCCCCTCCAGTGCCCACGCTGCCACCCTTGTTTCAGCACACTTACTTGACGTTCGGAGCCATGGGCTCGACGCTGGCAGCATGAACGAGGCACAGACCTGCAAAGAGACACGGGGCCGCTGCAGCTGTGGACAGGCGAACCCAGAGCAACCCTGAACTCGAGAGCTCAGTCGGCACCTAGCCATCCCCAGGGACCCAGGAGGCCAGCAAGGCCTGTGCCCAGCGAGGCCCCCCGGGCTCCCTCTGCTCCCGGCACAGCGAGCTGGCAGAGGGTCCGGCCTTGGGGCCCCAGCTCAGCATCCCCCTCACACCCTGGCCCCTCTGAGCCTCTCTTTCAGACGGCAGGGACAGCCCGTCCTCCGTGCCAGGCTCTCTGGGATGACCCGTCAAGGACCGGACTCTGGGCCAGACACCGGTAGGCAGCTGCTAGGCTAATTTTTCTTCTAAGAATTCTCCTGGGATCTGAAGCCAGTTCTGCCTGAAGCTCCCATGGCTTCTCCCCCACTGAACCCAGCTTGGCTGATCGTTCGCAGAAAGTGGAAAATGGCTGGAGCTAAAGGGCACCCCCAGGACAAGGGCACTGAACCCGACGGACGGGATGTCTCGGACTCCCAAGTAAGCACGAGGGAGGCCAGCAGACCTGGAGGGGCTGAGGGAGGTGGCCATGTGACCACGGCCCTCACATCCGAAAGCACTTCCCAGAGCCAGAGGTACAGGGATCTGGGGTTCCTGCCCTGAGCACCAGTAGGTGCCTGGCACGTCTGCTTCTCTGGGAAGGCTCTCCCCGGGCTGCCCAGGCCGGGATAACCCTCAGGCCGCCTTGACTGGAACTTCACTCGCTCACACCGGGAAGGTTTTGTAAGAAACCGCGTTTGCCTCCCAGGTCAGGGAACGAGGTAAGATGATGTTCGCGGGTGAATATCGTCTAACTGGAAAACATTTTTACAACATAAGAGGAAATCCCACAGTGAGTGGAAGCAAGGGGAGAGTGGGCAACGTCGAGGGTGACGCAGCCCCGCTGTGCCTCCCGAGAGGCCTCTGGGCCTCAGTCTTCTCACCGGCAGGATGGGACGACGACACTCCCAGCAGGTGCATCTGCCAGCCGCGGAGACGTTTCCCGCACGGTGTACGCAGTCCCCAGCCCGTGTCCGGCTCGGTGAACAGGGCTGGGCGCCATCCTACCTCTGCGGGGCTCCCCCACCTCCAGACCCTTAAGCTCCAGCAGAGTGGAGCAGGTGCCTCACCTGGGAAGATGAAGATGAAGAAGGAACTGATGCCCCCGATGATGCCGATGATCTCGCTGAGGTCGGGCAGGAACAGGGCCAGGGCCAGCGTCACGGCTACCCACAGCACGGTCAGCAGCCCCCGGACCCACGGCCCTGAGGGCTCCGCCAGGGCCGTGAGCCCACCTGCCCAGCAGCAGCTCCTCCTCCAGAAATCCTGCATCACGGACCTGGAGGCCACACCAGCGCAGGCGGCTCCAGCCCCGCGCCCGCCCCCCACCGGGCCCCCCTCGCGATTGCCCTGCACACCCAGCAGGGCCCCGGTTCCTCACCAGGCGCCGTTCCCCCAAGGACTGCAGGCCGCCGACAGAGAGGAGCCACGCGGGGTGCAGTCCTGGGTGGGCTGGGGAGCCAGGCTCCGGTCCTGACCCTCACGAGCTGGGCCACTCTGGGCAAACCACCTCAGCTCCCCCCTCCATGTTCTCTACAGAGATCTTCCCCAACACACGAGCCCGCGTGGTGCCTGGCGTGGCCCGAACCCTAACAGAGGGCACTGTCCCGCGCCGAGCGGAGCCCCTGTGGGCCAGGCCTCACCTCCCCAGGAAGAGTGCGATGGGGTAGACGGTCACGATGGAGACCCCGAAGAGAGCCCGGGCCACGATGATGACCACGTCGTTGCCCGGGTAGGACATCAGGATATCGGCAGAAACGTCTGTCCCGAAGGTCAGGAAGCCATAAACCCCTGGGAGGCCAAGAGGGTGGAAGCCCAGAGTGAGGATTAGGAAGACGCTGTGCCGGCGGCAGAGACGGGATGGAAGGCACAGCACGGGGCGTGCGGTCAACAGCACTCTACTAGCACAGCGGGGACACAGACGGCGGCCACACTTGCCGCGAGCACGGCCTAACATAGGAGCCCACCCCCTGCGCCGCACGCCTGACGCTAACGTAACCTCGTGTGTCCGCTACACACACACACAGTATTTTTACAGGTCACATCCCCGCTCCCTCCGCTCGGACACACTGACAGCACCCAGCTCTTACCACCCCGAAAGTTCTCCCTGGGAGCAGACAGAAGGTTCTAGAAGGCTTCTCTGTTCTGCAGTTTCTCAAGGCTTTCCTATCCTCAGCCAACACGATACCCTGCCCCTCTGACTCAAAATTCCTGCTGGCCAAACTGCTGCTTCTCCTTTTTTCACCTCCCAGTGCCGGTGTGAGGGGCCCGCTCGCGGAAGCAGCCGCCGCTCAGAACCGCAACGACCCCTCATGCCCGGTACGTCCCACTCCTGCCCAAGCACCCGTTTTCCTGACCCAGGGCATCAACCGTTGCCAGAATCATGCAGCTAGTGATGGCAGGACCAGGGCACCAGGGCACCAGGGCCCTCCCCCACACCCCCACCCCCTCGGCATCCTGGTCACCTGCCCTGTCCCGACACTGTTCATCCCCTGCCGAGAGCTGTGCCTCGTTTTGGCTTCTCTCTGGGCCCTTTCCAGAAGGTCCCACAAACCTGCTGGCCCTGGAGGTGACTCTCCATCTCCAGGTCATGGACCTCCGACCCAGGGACACAGACTGACAATAACCACGCCACCCTGCTGGGGAAGGGTTATCCGGCAAGCTTCCCAGATGACCACGATGCTCCGAGGAGCCCGAGACATTTGCGGCTGCCCACGGGCTTCCCAAGTCAGGGGCTCCAAAGCTGGATGGAAGAAAGGGCCCCGGGGCTGGAGGAACACAGCCGGCCAAAAGTCTGCCTGAACCGGAGACCTGGGGTGTGCTGTGTGACCCTGGGCATGTCACAGCCCTCTCTGAGCCACACTTCTATCACCTTTGGAGACCCTTCTGCCTACAGGTCTGCGAGCACCCAAATCCGTCAAATCCACAAAAGCATTTTGTACGCTGCTCCCCAGCTGTAACACGAAGATGACCCCCATTACGGTCCTGTACGCCAGCAGGGGACGGGGCTGGGGGCAGCGTGTAAGAGCAGGGCCTTTGGGGACAGCCGGGCCCAGGTCTGGGTCTCAGCTCTGCACGTCTAGTCGGGAGACCCTGGACAAGCCATGGAAAGCCTCTGACCCTCCGGCCCCTTGTCTAGGAAATGGGGACTTCCCTAGGGGGTTCGGGTTAAATGAGCCAAGGCTCCCACACTGCTGGGCCTGCTCCTGGCACGGCACAGCGGAGCTCACAGGAAGGACTCCAGAAGCACACGTCACTCGGGCTCTCCTGCGCCCCCAAGCCAGCTCTGCGGTACCCCGGCGGGCCTTACCGGTCAGCGAGTAGATGAGGCAGCAGGCCAGCAGGGACAGCACGGAGACCAGGGCCCAGTGGGAGAGGCTCTGGTTGTGCATACTGCAGTAGATGGACACGGCAGCTTCATGACACTGGAAGGCAGGGGCGGAGCTCAGGGGGACGGGGCCGGCAGGAGGGAAAGCCCCCCCAACGCCCGCCCAGAGTCGAAGGTGTATGGAACCCGGCAGAGATTCACACGTGGAATATTACACAGCACCAAAGGAGGAACACAACCTTACGCCCACACGCGGGAGAGCCTCACAGCTTTAACACTGCACCCGAGGAGAAAACACGTTTCCGTGGATGTGCAGTTCAATTTACAAGCTAAACGTGCCAGGAGGTTCTCGACGGCAGCACGCGGACAGGTGGGGGCGGTCCTGTGCACTGCAGGATGCTGGGCAGAGTCCCTGGCCTCGACTCGCTGGATGCCGGGAATAACCCCCAGTTCTCACCACCAGAAAGGTCTCTGGACGGTGCCAAATGGGCTCTGGGGGACAGAACTGCTCCTAGCTGAGAACCACCACTTACAGGAACAAAAGGAACTGTGGGTGGAGGGTGCTAGTGAATGGGAAAGGTCACAAGGGAGCTTTCGGGGCTATCGGCAATGTTCTAGATCCTGACTGGGCTGAGGGTTACGCGGGAGCAGACGTACCAGCAACTGATACACTTCACAGGAACTCTGTTACATCATGAGAAGATTTAAATACAAACCACCTGTAGCCAACATCAGGGTGTTTGTTTAGTTGGGGCAGGTCCTGAGCAGTGGCATTTCACGAGCAGCCCAAGAGACCCTGACTTGCATTCAGGGTTGAGAGGCACTGCTTTATCTCCATGTCCCTGCCCCCACCACCCCACCACGCCCCCTGCCATGGCCTCCAGGACCGTCACAGGCTCCTGGGACCGGGTTCCTCCCACACGTCAGCCTCTCTACTCACTTCTGATCAAAACCAAACACGCCAATCTCGTCCCCCTGCTCACGCTCCAGGCTCCTAGGGGGGACGCTCCCCTTACCCACTGGGCTCAGTTCACCTCCGTTCCTCCTTGCTGCCTCAGGGCCTTTGCTTGTGCTGGGTCATCTACCTGGGATTCTCTCTTGGTCTGGCCAGCTCCTACCCATCCTTCCAGAAAGCTCTCCCTAGGAGGACCAATTTCCTCCCTGTGTCTCCCCCACCCCCCGCCCCGTGAGTACACTGGGGTTTGCTTGTTCCGCATCTGTCGGCTACCTGATGGCCAGAACCACATCTGCCTCACTTACGCCTCTGAGCTCAGGCCATCCGTGGAGCCTGGTGCACAGCTGGAGAATGCTCTGGGGTGACTCATTTACCCACCCCTTAACCCACCCAGCAACCAAGAGGCCTCCCCTAGCCCAGCCCCAGCTCACCAGCACTCAAATGCTGAACAGTCCCCCTCGTGCCAGTGTGGGATGCCACACAAACAAGCGGGACACAGTCCCCACCCTCCTGCAGCACACATGCGGGAGGGGCGGGAGGGGCGGGAGGGGACACACACTGGGTCCAGCCCAGGGTGAGCTCACGCACACCTTCCCCTGTGCATCTTAGGCTGTCTGCCCTGGGCCTCCCTGACCTTGCAGGAGCCCGCTGGCTGCAGGCTGGCTCAGCCAGGCAGTGGGGCCTCGCAGGGAACCTCCACCAGGGGAACCCAGAGGACCTATGCTCCCACCTCCTGTACTCCTATTGCATTTCTGAGGTACATCCCACATGCTTCCCAGGATGGCCCAGTGCCCGTGACAGGGAGCCACCCTAACACACCTTCCGTCTCCCTGTCCCTGCTCCCAGGTCCATGCCAGCCCCAAGCCCACGGGCTCTGCAGAACCACACAGGATGCCACGTGGCGGCGGGGGGCGGGGGGCCTCAGGGCCGCAGCTCTGTGCCTAGAGGAGCAGCCGAGCACAGCGACCATGAGAAGATGCTTGGCGGTGGCAGGAGGCTGCCCAGCCCTCCTTCCAGTTTGTCCCCAGACTCCTGGGCCCTGTTCCTCCTGGTCCCACACAGGGGACTGAAGGTCGTCTCCCAAGGGCGGGGCTGCTCGGCTGAGACAGTGTGTAGGGTGGGGGTGGGCCGCTGCTGGCCCTCTGCTCTCCTGGGGTCAGAAGGCCAGGCAGAGGAGCGTGCAGCCGCTCAGAAGCAGAAAGCGGCCACACATCCACCTGCCGAGGAATGGATTCACAAGCCGCGCTCGATCCGTCCAGCGAGACACTCCAAGGAGGCCGGGAGCAGAGCCTGCAGCCGTCCTCTGCCCCTCCACGGGCCCTCGGGACTCTGTGCAGGCCAGACGCGGAGCCCCATTGCTCAGTGTAGAGGAGGGGAGCTGTATGACCAGGTCAGAGCTCCTGAGGACAACAGGCAACCTCCCCTTCCTGCCCCCCGCCGTCCCGCCTCTCTGCCCTCTCACTCTACCCCCTACCATCCTCACTTACAGCTGCTCTCCTCCACCCCCAGGTCCCAGAAGCTCCCGGCCCAGATCCTGGCAGCCCTGCCTGGGCCTGAGCCTCACCCCCACTCCCACCCGCACCCCCATGCCCCTGCAATTCACATCATCTCCCAGCTCCCCATCGCTGCATCCCGTGTCCCTGGAAACGGTAGCCCAGGCCCCGGTTGCTAGGAGAACTGGTTGAGGGAGCCGAGGCAAAGGTGAGGGGGGCACCTCTCGTAAGCATCTGGAAGGCCGCCCCCGCAGCGTGAGCCTGCCGCACCATATGGTGTCTGGGCACAGGAGGGAGGGATGCAAACCACGTCCAGACAAACCGCTGACAGCAAAATCATCGCTTTAGATCTTTCAAAATATTGGGTGCACAAGAAATGTGAGAAATTCCTGCAAGCGCCTTGCTAAGCCCCAGAAGCGATCTATCAAAGGATTTTTAAGGAAGATAAATGGAAATGTTCCAAGATTTTTTTTTTTTTTTGTCAAACATGGTTCTCAAAGAAAATGCAAGATGAAGAAGAGAAGCAGAAGCTAGTTGAGAGAGAAGCAAGGAGAAACATCAGGCCACGAGGCACTGCTGTCATTCTCAAGGGCAGGGGGTCCAGGCCTAAGATTTTACATTGGGGCTGTTTTGGTGGTGGTGGTATGCTGGGTAGGTGGCTGTTTTTAGGAGGGAGGCACATCTTTCCTAAAATAAACACCGAACGAATGGAGTCAGCTGCCACCTGCTGAGAGATCAGAAGACCCTGAGAGGGACCAGAAGGCAGGGAGCAGGACCCATGCCCTCAACCGCACCCCTCGGGCACCTGGCTCGCCCCCTGCCGCTCTCCCACCAAGCCTGAGGCCCTCTGCCCTCCTGGGCTCACCAGGCGTCCTCGTGGCTGTCCTCTCGAGCTGCCCGCCTCCCACACGTTCTTCAAGGTTCCTTTTAGGCGTCAGTGCTTCGAAAAAGCGGTCTCTGAACCTGCCCCATGCAGGGCTACCCTACCTTACGCTAGGCCCTCTGCGGGATTCCACACACAAAAGCCTTCCTCACTCCATGACACCTGGTCAGAAATTCTGTCTATGCCCCGTGTGCCCCGCCACTCGGCTACCAGGACGCCTTCCAGCCCTCCCCCCAAGCAAGCCTCCTGAGGCAGGATCTTTCCTCTCGAAGGTGCCTGGGGCATGTGTGTAAGGTGTTCTCTAGAAAGCAGGTGGCTCTAGGTCTCCAGCCATGGTGACAGTCCTGTGAGAATTCTGCAGAGGACGGAACAAATTCCGGATCCCCACACCCAACAAATGTGCTGTTGGTGTTGGTGGGGGGCCAGGTTCCCGAGTTCAACGACAATTCATACCTCACTGAGCCCAGATGCCCACCGACATGCACAGTCTCCAGGAGACAGCCTGTCTCCTCCTACGGCGAGTCCTTAAACTTCTTTCCTGACAGGGGGCCACACTCTCCCCAGGGAGCAGGACGTCACCACCACAGCCTGAAACACCACACACCTCCACACACCCGCGGACATTACCTGGAATCCAAAGCAGATGGTCGGGAAAACACTAAATACGGATGTCCAGGAGGTGGCTCTGCAAAGAGACACGAACAGGTGTTTATCACAAAAAGGGCAACTCAAAACAGACTCCACTTGAAGAGGAGTTTTCAACGATACCAGCAAAATGTGCCTAAGCCTGACTAGGAGACAGGTTCCTAATCCCCAGGAAAACGAGGCATGTTAAATGCTACACCTCCTAGATGTATCTGCACCGACATTTGTTCACTTGACACTCTCTGCACAGGCAGAACTCGACAGGATGTGGTTAGAAGGAAGTCCCAACTTCCTGCCAAGCCGGCCTGTTCCCACTGAGGTTAGGGGCGGGGACGCAGGCAGCACCCCTGGAATCCAGCACTGCAAGGACAGCTTGACCACCATCCACGCTGAGAGGACAGAGGTGTGCACAGAGCAGAACCTTTAGGTCCAGCCCTCCCAGACAGGGGCCCCCCAGCTTCCTTTGATAAGGAGCTCTGGGGCCCAGCCCCCGGCACCTTGGCGGACATAGAGGCATGAGCAGCACCTGCAGGCCTTGGTCCCCCGTCAACTCCTGCCCATTCCTCCCCTCCCCTCCTCAGAGAATGCTCTTCCCTGCCTCTCTCCCTTTCCCCTGGACCCAATCCCCCTGGGCCCTCACCCCCTTCTCCTGCCCCAGTGGAGCTCGTCCCATCACCCACAGCCAAATCCAATGCCAGGGCTCAGTCCCACGTGACCCAGGAGCAGCATCGGGCAGCAATCACCCCAGCCTTCTTGAAATTTTGTTCATTGACTTCCGAGGCACACCTTCTATCCTCCTCTATCCTGGGTTGAATGACATCCCCCCAAATTTACATCCCCTGGGAACCTCGGAACAAAGACTTATTTGGAAATGGATACATATAATTTGTTAAGTTTAGATAAGGTCACACGAGCGGGGTGGATGCTCATCCGACTGGTGTCCTTACAGGAAGAAGAAACAGAGACAAGGGGAGAAGGTCCCGTGAGGACAGAGCCAGAGACGGGAGGGAGGCGCCCATGTGCCAAGGGAGGCCAAGGATGGCCAGGGCCACCAGAAGCTGCAAGGGGCGGGAAGGAACCTCCCCCTAGAGGTGCTAGAGGGAGCAGGGCCCTGCCACACTTGGCCTCTGGACTTGCAGACCCCACTGAGAGGCACTTCTGCTCAGCTCAGCCACCCAGTTTGGGGCCATTTGTCACAGCAGCCCCAGGAGGCGAACCCATCCTCCTGCTTTGCCTTCTCGCTTTCCTTCCAAAGGCTCCACCTCCTGTCCCTGACCTCCTGGTCCTGGACTGCGTGCCACCGGCTCAGGGGCAGGTCTCAGCCTGGCAGCCCTAAATGCCACCTCTGGCCAATACCAACCACGTTTCTCTCTCCAGTCCAGACCCCTCTCTCCGACCCCCAGACACGCAGGTCCAACCGGCCACCTGACGTCTTCATTATAGGTCTCCGAGCCGCCTCCAACTTAACACGTCCCCACATGACTTCCTCCCCCAGCCACCTGCTCATGTCTTACCCACCCCAGGAAACAGCACCCCTCCCGGTGCTCAAGCCCAAAGCTCAGAGTCGCCCTGGCCTCTTCTCTTCCTGACGTTCCCCTTCCAATCCGTGGACCAGGAGGGGCCACATCATTTGTGGAGTCTGATGCAAAATGAACATGCTAGCCTCTTGTTCAACTGAGGACTTCAGGATGGCAACAGCAGAAGGGTAAACCAGGTGCAGGATCCTTCTGGGCACAGGGCCGTGGTGACTAGCCTGGTCACGTGCCCATGGCCCTGGTCCTGCCATGAGCGGATCGGATTCTAAGCCCTGCTGGGCTCAAAATCCTGCAGGGGCTTCCCAGCAGAACCGAAGTCCTCACTGCAGCGCAGCATCCCCAGAGGACACCCCCACCCCACCCGACCCCCGGTCTTGGCCTTGCTCAGGCCGGTCGGGCCACACCAGCCTCCACGCATTCCCGTTCCCTGTGGCCAGGCACCCGGGCCTTGCTGGCCAACTCTGCTGGCTCCGTGCAGTGGGGGAGGTCTGCAACAGCCTAGGCACCCCAGGCTGGCATGGTGTTTAGTGCGTGTGTGTCCCTCCTTCTGTCCCTGGCCCTTACTCGCCGGAGTCCATCCTGAAGGAGGACAGGTCACTTCGCAGGGCTCTGCTGTATCAGAGCCAGGAAGGATTTCCCAGGGAGGTGCCGGGACTCTGTGCAAACCACAGGAGGAGGAGTGTCCCTCCTCCAAGGATCCCCGTGCAGCACCCCTGGGAGCCATGAGGAGCCACCCCCGCAAACTCACCTCACTGCAGGGCGGGTCTCACGAACGAGGCCTTGGGGCCCGACGTAGTACTGGACCACGATGACCAGAGCCAGGTAGCAGGCGGCCAGGGTGCCTAGGATGCTGAGAGACGGGGTGCGGTGTTAGGGGCCTCCGTGGGGTGGCCGCCAGCCCCGCCGGCTAGAGCCTGGGCCACCGCACACAGTGGGGTCTGAGTCCCAGCTCTGCCCACACTGGCAAGGTGTTGGCCAAAGTTCTCACTGCTCTGAGCCTCGATTTCCTTGTCTGTGCAATGGGGACGGGGGAAGATCTCTGCTCCTCTGTTCTACTTCCGAAGTGAAATGTCTATCATCACGCACAACGGGGAAGGCAGGTCGCAAACCCGGATGAATACTTCTGCCCGACTCTATTTTTTCAGGACTATACGTAAAGCCTCAGACTGTAAAGTGAAAAAAGAAGTGTTTGGGGTCTCTCCGTGCCTGTGTGTGCATAAGATGTCTGTACTTATTAAAGAACAAAAGCTCAGCAGCAAGTCACGTCCGTAGAGGTAGTGTTCTTGTTCATCGGTTTCCCATCATGCATGTGTATTACTTGTACGCTTTTCCAGCTTTTTTCTCTTGTCCAAATGGGGGGACAGGGGCTGGCCGCTCCCCTAACCCCAGGCAGACACCGGCAGAGGTGGGGGCCCTAGGCGGAGCCACCGCCCTGCCAGCCAGGAAGCATCTGCAGGCCCGTACCTCGTGTATTTCTGGAACCCGATCTCCCGCGGGGCAGACAGGGGCAGGATGACCAGTGCGGAGAGCAGGGGCAGGGTGAAGCGCTGCTCGGCATACCAGGGCTGCAGGGCGCTGGGCAGCAGGACGTCACACACTGGAGGGCAGGGGGACAGGGCCCACTGAGAACACTGCACGGCCTCTGCCCTGGCCATGGCTCCGGCCACGGGGCTCTGGCCACGGCGCTCCCTGCCCCACGTCTGGGCAGGGTTGGCCCCGGGCACTAAGTCAGCCTTTGAGCCTAAAGGGATGGGACAGGGACCCCATCACATGCCACCACGGGGGGAGGAAGCCTGCTGCACAAATTCATTCCCAGCCACTCACTGCGCTTCTGCCAGACAGACACTGTGCTAAGTGCTGGGATCCAGCAACAAGAAAAGACAAAACTGCCTGCCCTTAAGGCACCTCGGCCCTCAAGTTCTTGTAAACATGTTTTGGTTTGCTCAGGAGCCCGGTGGGTGTGCAGGGTGGGGGCCTGGAGTGGCATTCCGGGGCTGGAACCGGGAGACCAAGTCAAACAGTGGCCCAGAGCGACCACTTTCTCGCTCGCTAGGGACTGGAGGAGAATTAGGGCAGGGCTGAGCTGCCCAGGTCGGCTGCATGTGGGTAGGCTGCGGGCACCTGGCTGACCAGAGGGCTGGGCTGGACGATCCTCGATGGCTCCACGCTGGGTACCTGGTGGGGACACGTGGGCTCCACTGGGCCCTCCCTGCAGGCTAGGCTGGGGCAGCTGGGGGCTCCCCGAGATCCCGGTGGAAACCACCTGTCCTCTTAAAGGCTAGGCCTGTAACTGGCACCATGTCACACTGGCCATATTCTACTGGGCTGAGGTGCCTGGGAGCCCACTCTGATTCAAGGGGGCGGGACACAGACTCCCCCCCACCCCACCCCGTCGCCCACCAACCTCTCAGTGGAGGGAACACCGAAGAACCTGGGACCATTTCTTCATCCCGCCACAGTAAGATGGAGAATTTGAAGTTGACAGAAGAGGCAAGATGGATGGGGGAGGGGACGGCAATGGTGGGGACTGCAGCGGGTGGGGGTGGGGACAGCAAGATGGCCTGAGGCTGGAAGGGGCTGGAGGATGGGCACTGAGAGGTGGTTCTGGCCCACTTGGGGCTGCTTGCTCTGCTGCACTGTAACCCTTCTTCGTGCTCCACCAAAAGCTCAATAAAGCCCGCCACGCCAAGAAACGAATGGCTTCTCAGAACAGCTTGTTTGCACTGAACCACTCTAAGGGCAGACTCCCACCTTGAGGTCGCTCACACAGGCACCAGGCGAGAGAGTGAAGCAGGCATTCCAAGCCACAGATGCCATGGCCATGCCAGAGGCCACATGGCCTGGGAAGGGGCCCAAGCCCCATTCACACACCTGGAACTCCTCAGCCAGGAACGCAGCTCTGACAGCTGGGCTCCTGAGCCCTCATTTTCTAGAACATTCCTCCAGGTCTTTCAGCACACGTCACTTACCGTCATTTGTATCCAATGCACGCAACGACACCCCCAAGCTCTATTCAGCCCCCTCCCAAGAAGCCTGGGCTTGCCTACAGCGAGACCCATCCCCAAATACCTAACCACCAACACACAAGCAATGCTCTCTCGACCCCAGTCAATCTGCCCAGGCCGGGGTGGCCTCTATCCTCATTAGTGCACTAATCCGGCTGCCCTACTCCTGGGCCTGAGTGCAGCCTCTGAATCCTTCTCAATGGGCACCACACCGGACCAACAGAGGTGAAATCAGATGTGCCTCGACGTACCTCTAGCAGGCAGGGCGCTTTTGTGCCCATTTACCAACCTCCCTTCTTTCTGGGCTGAGTACCTCCCAAGACATGGAATCCATGCGTTTCAATATCCCAGGATCAGGGACCTGCTCATCTTTGGCTCAAGTGGCAGAACACACAAAATGGCAAAGTGGGAGACCGAAATCCAACCATATCGATAGTTACGTTCCAATTAAAAAAATCTCAACACTCCAGTTAAAATTGGACAGCGTCAAGATGATAAAAAAAGCAAGACCCAACCACATGCTGTCTGCAGGAAATGCATCCAGAACTCCCAAAGCACAGTTAGGCTCACTGTGAAAGAGCTGGGAGGAGAGAGAAGCGGGCAAACACTCATCTTCCTATTTTTTTTTTTTAATTTTATTTATTTGAAGACAGAGAGAGACAGCGAGAGAGGGAACACAAGCAGGGGGAGTGGGAGAGGAAGGAGGAGGCTTCCCGCTGAGCAGGGAGCCCGATGCGGGGCTCGATCCCAGGACCCTGGGATCATGACCTGAGCCAAAGGCAGACGCTTAACGACTGAGCCACCCA